TTTGTTTTCACACACTTAATATTTGGAACATACCCTCTACTCAGGTTCCCTATAGGGATGCCCTGGTAGGTCATTTTAGCGAGTGATACTATGTGACCTCTAACAAAACCAAGCTCGGGCTTTAGTTCCCGAGCCTATTTGGGGGGCCGACTGCGTGGAGCTACTCAAAATTGGCCCCTCTTCGACTCCGTGGACTTTAAATTTTTTTATTGGGTAAGTATTGGTTAGAAACGGTGAAGGGGGATTTTAGGAGAGGGGACACACATACAATACTTATTCCAAAGCACCCATAATTGTATGTACCACGAAGCAAACCGACGGAGCAAGAGGGTCACTTCTTGGGTGTCCGGCACTATAGAACTAGGAAATCACTTCGTAGAAGTAATGAAAGTTGCTGCATGCCCTGTTAAAGAAATCGGTTCCCAAAAAAAAATGAAGTTCCAGCTAACCCACAATCCTCTTCAGTTATCCTGTGCTTTTCTCTGCAGCGCCGATATTTGTTTATCGAATCTCCAGCCATTATGAATAGTCGTTCCCTTCAAAAACCGAACCCCGCTGCGATTTACAGAAGGAGTGGGCAATTATTATTCGGAAGCAGATATTCCTATCAAAACACTTCCCTTATAGCTCCTTCCCCTAACACACCGGGTATTCTCGATATTGTCACAACGGGTGAAAATATTTCGAAACCGGGAGTTATTGCCTTACTGTGCGAATGGGAAAACCATTTTTCTCAGCCCTAATCTTCAGGAGATGCCCTGGCACCTTCACAGTTCCGGGAACCATTGGCCCAAGCAACCCCATCCCTAACTATGATATTCATTGAACGTGGCCTCCATCAAGCATACCTGGCTGAACTCCTGTTTTCTGGGATCTCCATTCTCGAAATTACGGTTCTAAATTCTTGGCTATCACTGAAGCATTGTATCTAAACAGTGCCAATATGCCTCCGTCCGAGCCGCTCTTCAGCAGCTGGTGATATCTTATCACAGTAAATCACTCGTGTCGCATGTTGGATTTAGTGCTGTGCGTTGCAGGCTACATGATATTGGTTGAAGCTGGGTTGTTACTTGTTGCATGTTAGATGGTATAGTTTTATGCTTGCTGGCCTCTTCTTCCTGGTCACCAGTTCTGGAGGACGCGCCTACTGTTTTCTCTGATAGAGGGGTGAAAATCTTTTATCCCTCGTTGTGACCCGCTGGGGGTCATATAAGGCCAGTTGTCATTACTGTTTGAACTAGATAGACCAATAAACGAACCTTCTGCTGCTGAAAACCTTGAAAATCTCTTCAAATTCTCACATTTAGTGCTTATCCGTCAAACAGACTAGTTTCCTTTTTAGTTAGTTTCTCCTAGTACTTTCCTCGCCACTCTCCAGCGTTAGTTACTGTTTGAGTTTTTTCTTCATCTCTTCTCCGTTTGCTCCACAATCACACAACCATGCTATATTCAACTATAGTATTCCGAGGTTCTCATATGTTTTTCTTCCTCGCCGGGGGTTTTGTCGGATTCTTTCCTCCGAGGTCCTCACATTACTGACCTCGGATTTTTGATATTTCTTTTCTTTCCCTTGATAGTTCAGTTAGAATAAAAACCCACAGCTGCACAGGTGGCAAGACAATCAAGCTTCTTTCTCGTTAGCAGTCGTATCAATTCAAATCGCGCGGGGTGCTGTAGGGGCAAGAGGTTTGCGGAATTTTTTTTTCTATTCACTTTAGAATGCCTTGAATGATGTATCGTATCCTATACCATATGATACTTGTTTGTTTTGTTAGGGATTTTCGTGGTATTTGGAGTTATCGTCGTAACTGGTTTTTTTTTGTGACCAGGAGATGTGGGAGTGTTTGTAAGGGGCCCGTTCCAACCTTTTCCTGTAAGTTCTTGCGAGACGAGAGTGGAGGGATTGAGTTGAGAACAGCCAAAGTATCGTGCTTTTATTCCGTTTCTCCATCCATCTAGGTATCTGTTCTCTTTCCCCTTGTCAGGTGTTACAAATAAGTTTCTTTTTCCTTTCTTTTTGTGATTTGAATCCAGCTAGGATTTGCCCTTTCAGTACCCAGTTCCCTGATTACGGTGTGATGGGAGCTCCTCAGGCTCAATGACGGGCGACTGAGTAGTCAGGGATTTTCAACCACGGGATGTCAAAACCGCTGTAGAAACAGGTGTGTAGTAGCGATCAGTAGACTCCGTGTGCATTTCAACACATGCCAGCTCTTGCATGCCCATCTATGGTACTTTTTGCCTCCCCCCTGCTTTTCACTCTTGACATCACCATTAAATCTCGCCCCCCCAACCGATCCAGTCCCCCAGGGTTCAAACAGCAACACCCGCCAACCCCGCGTTGTGTCTTTTAGGCGGCAATCTTAATATCGCGCGCGGGTTCCAGCCCATTCCCATGATCTCCAACTACCCCACAAAGCATCTGCTGTCCCCACAATGGCTAACCTGTATCACTTAGACATACAAGTGCCACAGCGCTGGGTGGGCGGCTTCAATCCGTAGCAATCGGTGTTCCCAGCGGTGTTTCGGTCCCCCCCCAGCTCTCATAGGTCAGGTCCCAGGCCCTGGCTGATCGAATGTGGGACGTAATGGAACAGCAAAAACACAATGGAAACCACACGGCATTGTTTGTCCTTTTCGCCTTCATGGCGCGGCCGTTTTCCGGGGGTGTACACCCCGACGACTCATAACAACCATCCCCCAAATGAAGACCTGGCAGTCACCTCTGTATATCTGCAAGAGAATAAGGCATTTGGCCTAATTCCCGTTCCCCTCTGTCCTCTCGCGCTTTCTATCGCCCCTGGGAAGAGCCAATATCTCTGAGAATCCCGCAGGCACCAGCCATTCCCGTCCCATAAGCCCCCCGGGAGACCCCTAGACATCCCACACCTTGAATGGAGCTAGGCTGGAGTGACTTGTACGAGCACACCGTGCTCTGGGGCCAATGAATATGGTCTCTTTTCTTATCATCTCTTTTCCAAATAATTCAGTTAATTGCTTCAAGGAAAGCAAACGGACGCCCAGAGTACGGTGACCTCGACACAACTCCTTCCAAGCACCCCCGCCAAAAATACCTCAAAGATGGAGTAACCACGGGAGAACCGACTACAACGATCCCCACTAGCACGGGGCATGGTAGATCGATTTTCAGCAGGTTGGATGCACAAAGGATCCGAAGAAAATTTTGTGACCCCAGATATTTCAACTATGAACTATCCACTGTTAGACATAGGCTTAAGACTACCCGGAACCCTGTGTGCCTCTTGGATAATCTCGATGCGAGCGATATGAAGGGGCCAACGTCCTCTCGCACGGTGCAAGTGGTACCCAAACCCGGCGGGATTTGCGCTACTACCGTATGTTCCCTCTTTTCCCGCCCGTTCGGTTTCACCCCAACCGAGAGCTCTGTCGGTTTTTGCTTTCGAGATGCTCCGCTCGAACCTTAAATTACATCCGGAAGGTGGGACGACCGGCCATACCCACTGACAGGAAACCCCTCGCTACCACACCACCAAAAGCCGCGACCTTCATAGCTCTGTGGAAATAACGCACGGGGGGACCAGCACCTGCCAGAATGAAACCGCCTCCTACGCCAGCCCTCCACCCAGCTAGCACTAATACCAGACCTTCCCCGAACCCGGAAACCTCCCTTCTAACAGCACACTGCAAAATCTCTCTGACACTCTTGGACAATTCCAGATTCCAGGAAACCTCACCGCCCAGGGTAGGTATTATACCGTAATGATTGCGCCCTCCGTGGCATAGCGGAAGCCCAATGCAAACCGAGTTTTCCTCATTATACAGACGCATGGCCAAATTAGAACACCATCAAGCCCGAATGCCACAAGCCTATCATTTCCGACTAAGGGCCTGGCTTGCACTCCATAAAAACGGCGCTCCTGACCTTAGGAGGTTTTTGTTGCGAATGAGATGTCACAACACTGCCTTCGGTCACAACTCGGCTTGCAGGCCTCCTACTCGACCTCTTTTTCCTTCGCAACTGCCAATAAGGCTGCTGCAAGGTGGATCCTGCCTTTTTGGGTTCTCGGGTCGACGAGGTCCGCACTCTAGCAGAAATTGGATCCCAAGAAATGCGGTGTATATTTTTGTATTGCGGCGCGTTACCCACCCATCCATCCACTACTCCACAAAACCAATTTTCCTTAAGGTGCGTAACCCACCAATCCTGTATGAAACGAGAGAAACAACCCAAGAGAAAGCATGAGCAAAGATTAACAATAAAACCCACCAAGATCACGACAGCAAAGAAAAGAATAAAACGGATCATAAGCCCAAACGCAACCCAAATCCACAACCATGCAACGGTAAGTGTAGAAGCCCAAAGGCTACCGCCCACCTTAGCTAAGCATCGGAACTTAGGTAGAGACGCAAGGACTGAGCAGTGAAATGAACAACAGTATTATGTCCCCGTGGCTACCGGTATGCATGCCGATGACAGTCGGCACAATCCTAACCACCAACGCCGCAATGACCGCAATGATTAAACAAATGGTGATGAAAAGAAAAAGGAAGAGAAGGAAGAGGAAGAAAAGCAATGTTTCCGGTAAAAATTTTGCAATCGTGTTCATAATATCCGGTTCCAGTCCACCCTTCCTTTCTGGTGAAATACCATAGGTAGGTACAAGTAGGTGGGTAGGTATTATAGGAGAAAATAGACAAAGTAAGGCTGACCAATACAGCTACAAGAGAATATGGCGGCCAAGAGCGATGGGTAGAAGAAAAAAAGAAACGGAAAGCCCAGCAATATAACACTCCCGTGGTAAATCCGCTCATCCGCCAAGTCTCCCATGCGAGTAGGGAATAAAAATAAAAGGGAACCGGATCGGAGAATTGAGCCAAAGGAGAAAATCCCGAAATATCACCTCCAGATACAACAAACTGCAAAGCAAGGACTAAATGGATGGACCAATAGGCCTCAATGGGAAGGAAGAGAGAAAAAAGACAAATATACATGTACCGCCCCTCATTATACAATCCGACTACCTTCCCATACCCACTGGCCCGCCGCCTCTACCCCTCTGCCCACCCCTTCCACTCCCCGGTAGCGTAAAGTCCGGATTTCCGCCTAGCACCTGGCTCGCCGTCAACCCTCTTCTCCCCTGCTGATGCTGTTGCTGGGGAGGTGGCTGCCAGTTCGGATTGGGCGGTCTCTGTGAGATGCTGGTGAAGCCGCTGGAAAGGCTCATTGCGGGCGACCTCTGCCCATCCTGCAGATCCTCAAATGTTTGATTAGAGGGGTTGCGATGGGAGTTTATTGGGAGTGGTGGAAAAGAGGGAGGATCGTGAGGAGGGGAGGAAGGGGAGGCGGGATACCCTGGGGTTAGGGAGCGGGGATGATTTTGCGGAAGGGTAGTGTCGAAAGCGGGGACAACATCTTCGTAGTAGGAGCTTGCGACGTTGGTTGGAGGTGCCGGGGGGTGGTCCGAATGCGAAGAGGAGGGGGAGCCCGCGGGGAGCTCAACCGGCGGAGGGGAGCGGAGTTGTTCGGAAGAGGCATTGTCACGTTGTTGTTGCCAGGCTTGACGTGGTGGTATGTATCTGTAGAATTTCTTTAGTAGGGAAGAAGCAGTCTGGGGTAAGAAAGGGGGGAGGGGGATTACTCGTCTTGTGGGGTTGATCCCCCGTGTTCGTTTACCACAGATAATCTTCCAGTATGAGAAGGTTCCGAAGGACGTTCATCCGTGTCCAATTCCACCGGCCCACCTGGTCCACTCGGTCCACCTCCACGTTCATCCCCCCTCATACTTCCGACCGCACTAGCCATAGGTAGTGTCTTTTCAAACTCCATCCTTTCATCAACGATCCCACCCTCGGGATAATCATATTGCCGTGGCCCAGGCGGAGGCACAGGTCCTCCCCTTCCACCCATCAGCACTCCTGTGGGCGGTCCCCCCATTACACCGTATGAAGCTTGCCCGCCACGCATCCCTCCTTGGGGAGGAGGGCCCATCATCGCATTATTCTGCGGTTGGCCCATGCCATATCCCGGACCTCCGCCACCATAAGCATTGCCGGGAGGCGGTCGGTGACCAAATTGACCCGGCGAAGGGCCTCTCCTTGGCGGGGGAGCCAGTCCTCCCGCATGAGGATACATCCCGGGTGGGGTTGGTCCCCTAAATCCCGCAGGTGACAGCCCCCGCTCTCCATATGCATCTCCCCCATACCCCCTATCATACCCACCTCCACGCAGTGGCGGAACTCCAGCCCCTGTTGGCAATGCTCCATTCGAGTACTGATTACCTACTTGCCCTGGAGGCATAGGTCTAGACAAAGGCCCAGCACCTCTGGGTGGCGGACCATATCCCACACTTCTGTCACTCGGTTCCCTTGTCAGGGTATTGCTCCTCGTAAACGACCCATCCGATCCAGTGCCCGTTATGGGTGGAGAAACAGTTCTAGATCTAGAAGTAAGCAAAATCCTCTCCCCCTCTGGCTCGCCCGGCGTCGGCTTGTCCACATCGAACGTTGCATATTCGGGGTGTTTGCCAGGTTGTGTAGGCGCGGCAGCAGCACGTTCTCGAGAAAGAGACTGTGATGCGTAGAATTCTTGGCCGTTCATAGCAACATTTCCTTCTATCCTCTTTCTCCTTGCTTCCTTCGACACAACAGTCCTACGCATTCCACACATCACTATTCCTGCCATCGCAATCAGAATAGTCGCACCCAAAACCACCCAACCACCCCATTGCACGTGCGGAAGGAAGATCAATATATCAACCAAGAACGCTAGAAGAGAAAGTAGGAAGGTTGGTAAGGAGAGTATGAGGAGCGCTAGCAGGTAACGAGGCGAGTGCGCAGGCGAGTGAAGGTGAGATATGACTGCGAGCACCAGTAATATTAGAGTGAAAAGTGCAGCGATAGGGTGAACAATCAGTAAGTTTGATAATGAGTTGCGTGCATTGGATGGCAGCGAGAAGTCGGAATTGACGGGTGAGAGCGAGCCTGCGATGAGATAAAGTTAGCCACCCGGATAGACCTCAAGACCGGAATGCGTGGCGGAGAGGTGAGGAGGAAGGAGGCAGAGACAGGGTCACCACGCCCAATTGGTCTCTGTGCGGCCAAATCAACAATGACACCAAGCTAGACCCGAAACCGTGTACGATGAGGATCCCGCACCCGCTATCTCCACCCTCCGCCCCCCTCGCCCTCAACCTCTCCAGAGCAAAAACGTACCCATATCGTAGCCAATCCTGACACCACTGCACGCCTCCGCATCGCAAAAGCCAAAGACGCCAAACGCAACATCCCTATAAGAGGCCAAATGAATGGATGTGATGACAGGAGTGCTCAACACGCTCAGCAACAACAGCACGAAGGCCGCGAGGAGCAAGACACTGAGCGGAGTAGCCGGTCGTAAACGCATGTTGACCTTTTCTTCTTTTTTTTTCTTTTTTTTTTCTTCCTCCTTTCCGGATCTCTCTCCTGATCGACGATCAGGTATGGTGTAGTGAGGAAAGATAAGAGGGAAAGAGCGGGAGAGCAAAAGAACGGAAGGGTGGAAGATCGGTTTGTGGGTTGGAGCGGGGGTTCAACCCGTGCACCGATTGTTTGTGTGGCTCAGTTTGGGTACAGCTTCTCGCGGGGGGCGGAAAGAGATAAAAATAAATCGAAGGGTGCCTCCCGCAAGTCCAAGATAAAAAAATACAAAAAAAGGAAAACCTGGAACGCAGCACGCGTGCCGGAGGGTATAGTAATAGTGACGGAGCCCGCAAACGTTGACCAGTCGCGCGAATGGGTGAGGAAAGGGTTAAGGAGAAGAAACCAATGCCGACAAACAGTGCTGGGTCGTCGGCAAAGGGGCGAAACCGCTGAGCAGCTTTATCCCGTGAATGGGGAAACAAAAGCGAAGAGCCTTCTGGTCGGCGAAATTCACCGCGACACTCGGAAAACGGACCAAGGAAAGGGGGAACAAAAGCTGGCACAATCAGTACCGCACAAGTGATACGGTGAACCCGGTGCACTTGCACCGAACTCGAATGCACTGTACCCGTGCGTGTAATTGTGTTGATTCCCTCCTTCCTTCTTTCCTTCCTTCCTTCCTTTCTTCCTTTCTTCCTTCAATCGTCTACCAGAGACACAAACTCATCGAGGCTCAAGTTGGACAGTTCAGGGGAACGAGTGGTGGTTGTGGTGCGGAGGGTGGGTGATGGATGACCTGCACTGCGTTAACGTCAAAAAACGTATCGGTATGCGCGGCATGGAGCCCGCCCGGCCCAACCAAGGAAGAAAGAAACGGGCTGTGGAGAGCTCCACTCCACTCCACCACACCCTCCCCTCCCTGCAAAAAAAAGGGAAAAAGAAAAGAGGTGTGTCAAGTGGACAAGAAAGACCTCCATTCCGCTTCACACACTCCCCTCCAAAACAGCACTCGGGTGGAAGATACAGCACCGTAGGCCAACTTTTCATAACTTTTCATCCAACCGTTTCCTCACTGCGGTATCATACTCGCAGCTGCCACCATTTTCCGCACAGCCTCTTCCAATGGTTAACCTATGGCGAGATACGGTGGCTTAATACTCGTACTCGAGTACATGTAAGAGGAAACAAGGCGGCCTGGACTTGGACTCCAAACCCCCCCCACTCCACCAAACCCACTCTACGAGCATGTTACCGTACCACGCGTTGCGCCCAACCTACTCGAATAGTCTCTGCCCTAGGATCAATCCTTTGCACCTCTCCATCCCACGCCCACCCAACTGCCGTGATAATCTTGGACCGGAACCCACTCCCGTAAGCGATATACAAGCATCGTACACGGCAGAAAATTGCACAGCGTAGTCCACACTGTATGCTGGCTTCCTCCTATCGGCCACTCTCGTCCTTGTGCTGATACGTGCCATCGCTCAAACGGACACGCGGAACGTCATATCATACAGCAGACGGTGCTTCCTTGGAAAAAGCTTATGACCTGAGGTGGTGTCTCAGGAGAAAGGGGTAGACGCGACCGTGGGCGATACTCGAAACCCCCTCCTCCCACCCATCGGTGTGGAGAAGTGACTGCGCCCGCTATCTGGCGCCACTTATGATTGGTCGGTTCAAATATAGGTTGAAACCAAGCATCGAAATAACCCTACCCCCGCCGCATCATGATAGCCGCACATTTTTGGATGCCGCCGGAATGTCTCACCCCAGAAGACGAGTAGGGTGCCGCCTCGACAACGATGTCCCATTGGATACTACGCGAAGCCAACGGACCGCCAGCCATCCATCCCTGCCCGCGGGGGGATGATAATAGAGATACCGGCCCTGGTCATCAAATATCACTCGAACTTGTAATGTGCTGGTCATTCATCATGCGCCGGAATGCTATAACGAAGGTGGGAGCCATGGTGAGTCGGAATTTTAGCTCGCGAAAGCGATAATAATAATAAATGTAAGCATGACGGCCCACCGTTTGCGTCCCGGCACCATCGCTACCGGTATGCTGCTGTTATCCTGTCATACTCGCGCATCATACCCTACCCGTGCCATACACGCGCCGCAGAACGCTTTCACCGCGCCCTAACCCTTCTGCGGTATCCCTACCGATAAGTTCATGCTAGCCGAGGATGGTGTGGTCTTGCGGGATACTGTGCTCTAGGCATAGCCTTTATTAGACGCCCGGCCTGGAAAAAACAGTGCTCGAGTAGTTCTATCAAGCTACGGTACGAGACATGCATAAATAAAATAAATAAAATCCGTGAGAGCCTCTCTCTCTTCCTCTTCCCTTTTGATCGAGAAAAGCCTCGGAAGAAAGGGCAACTCTCTCACTGTTTCGGTAGTCTACGAGTATATGGAGGGAGGGATCTGCGGACGACCTCGTATCCATGAGGGTTACAAAACCACGTCGTGAGCCATGCACCCTATGTTTGCTTTCATCATGGGGTGGTGTGATTGAACCTGGGGATGAGGGAAGTCTATGTCAACCGACAGATTAGAATATCCGAGCGGCCAAGGAGTTTGACTTGGCTTTCAATTCACGGCATCGAAAGGGGCGTGAGCGTTAGGATATGTATAAGCAAAGAGCGATTCCCTCCTTCCACCATAGCTGATTTGTCCATTCAGCTCGATACTATTGACCTTTTCCTCATTCCTGGTCTGAAATTAATTACCCCCAATAGCTTGGCCACTTTCTCATTCCCAATCCCAACTGGGCTGACGCTCGATTCCCGATACCGGCACGGGTGCTCTAGCTCTGCGGAATGGCAGATCACATGCGGATCGGTTCTTCTTCCATCACTCGAAATCCGAAAACCAGGTACAGTAAGGTATGCAGTGTGCAACATGCCTGCAGCCCGTCGACCATCAGATGTGTGACAGCCAAGTTGGATGAGACAGCACCGCAACGTTGAGTAAAACAACCTTATTTTTTTTTTTCTTACCGAAGTTTGCTCGCTTGTACCAGTATAATACGGATATATTGACCCGAGCTTGGACGTCCCCCCAGTCGGAGGTGAAAGAGGGCTTGCCATTGAATCCGCAAACTTCGGAGGAAGTGGGGGGGGGGGCTAGAATGAGGTCATTCGTGCCGAGCCAATCGAAAACGACCGTTTTGAGGCTCCGGAGTACCAAGTGTTGGAGCGTCCACTGATCAGAGTCACGTTGGGTTCTTAGCTGCCTGTATGGTGTGCAGGCGCTACATCCGATATCTGATTCCATGGGCTCGCCACGAACATTGAGGCGGGGCAGATCCATTCGGCGACGCTTGGAACTGCTTGATCTGCTACCTATTCCTGGTAGTGGTGGTTTTTGTTGCCTAGTTGGTGTCCTTGGGATTGAACTATCAGTGCGGCCTTGGAGAGCTGAGCCCTGCAGCAATTGATGCGAATGAAATCCAACAATCCTCAGCATTTGGATTCCCTCTCAAATGATTAGGCTCTCCCTCCGATATATCCCCACATTGCTCTACTACCGTCCGGAGAAAGGATAACGGCTGGTGCCCCTCATCACCTCAGGAGTATATCACTCGTATATGCTTGCCTTAGTCTACGCTCCATAGTGTAGCTCTCCCTGTACTCGTACAGCACTCGAAAAAATGGGGACCAGGGCGGACCCCTTACTCTGGAGAAGCGAAGCATTCATGACTGGACGGAGCAATATGTGGCGCCATACAGATCAAGGGGAAGAGCCATTTCGGAAAACGGCCAATCTCGCTACCATGGGCTCCGTGTTGTGGTCGTAGGAGGAACCCTGGCCGGTCCCGCCCTCCGAACCTGGAGTGCGCCACTCGCTGTCTAAAAAGGGAAGTTGGTCGGAGAATCGACTCTTTCACCATCGCCTGTGGTTTGTGACGCATGGCTCCCTGCTCGTGGTACGACTCGGGGATAAGGCTAGAGGTGAAATGTTGGGCCATGCTTTAGGGGCCTAGCAGGTGGTGGGTAGGTAGGCCCCCGTAGGCAGGGTTCTTTTCTGCTCTCCCGGAACTAATATATAACCCTCTGTTCCTTTTGCTGTCCCCTCATCGCTCGCCTTCTTTGTTGCTCCTTGGAGGAAAGAATGAAAGAAAGGGGAAATAAACATTCGTTAACTTCTCTCTCGTCCTACCTAATTTGTTTTTAACAAAATGTACCTCCGGGAAGCCAAATTATCGGACATGCCGACCGTGGGAAGGATTGGTGCGAGGGCTTTTATCGACGATCCTTTATTCGCTGTTGTGGAGCCCGGGAGATATACCTATTACAAAGATTACGAGGCAGGATGGGTCCGGCGAGTGCGCGAAAAGGCTTTGAAGCCAGAGGCGAGAGTAATTCTCGCGGTGGACGAAGGGACAGAGGAGATAACAGGATTTGCGATCTGGGTGCGGGAAGGAGACGACCCAGCGGCATATCACTGGAGGAATGAAGGCGGTATATTAAAACGTACGATCCCTAATTTGAGAAAGGAAAGGAGCTACCCTATTCTGCCCATCATGGGGTGGATAAGAACTCCCTTCCCCCCGGAGTAGAAACTAACGGGGTAGTCCAGGAATCGAGTTTAAACTCCTCTCAATCGAAGACAAAATCACGATCCTCTTTTCCCCCAAATCGCGTTCGGAAGATCCCGCCGCCCTATCACGCTTGGACGAAGCGATCGAGCAGGCCGCTATGGGGACCTGGTCCCAGGAAGGCCGCCAGATCCGCTGGCACCTGCACATCTTGGGCGTGGATCCCTCATGGCACAGACGGGGTATCGGCGGCCTGCTTGTCAGCTGGGGCATGAAAAACGGTGCGAAGGAGGGTGCGATATGCTCCCTCGAATCGAGCCCCGCTGGCAGGGCTCTCTACGAGAAATTAGGCTTCAAGGCCGTTGGCGTGTGGGCGCCCTTCGAAGGGTTCAAGGAGAAGTTTGAGCACGTTACTGCGCCGATGATGGTTTGGCAACCTGATACTGCGGAAGCGAATGGTGCCGGGAAAGCAAAAACGGCAAATGGAAATGCGATCAAGGACGGGTCGGTGAATGGTGCGAGGAAAGGTGAATGACATGGGATAGGTAATTGTCTTGTTGCGGAAGCAGTGTTCTCGCTGGGGAAAACTTGTGTGCATATTGTAGTACTTTTCCGCTCCTTTTTCCTTTCCTCTTTTCTTCTTCTTTGCCTGTTGTACTGCATCGGCACTTGGGAGACTGTATGAATGTTTTGGTGCCGATTATGTGGACAATAGCTATCGGGGGCACATAAAGCAGATGTTATACCAATAACTATACCCGGGTACAACAACTTAGGCGTTGGACTAGACCGGTAGCTTATGTGCAACACTCGGATATTGTAAATGTTTTCCGCCGCCCTTCAAAGGGCCCTCACGTGATTAGACCACACTACTCGCATACGGCAGGTTATCCGGCCCGGCAACCTCCAAGTGAGTATATCCAATCACCGCTTCAATTGCCGAAAAGCTTGTGCCGGTACTAGACTATAATATACTTCCACTGCGCTATAAACGACACACCACCGGAGGGGGAGGGGAGCAGGGCCACTACCCCCCCAGAGCATTAGCCCACCCATCCTACTATCGTAGTACTATATCGTTATACAACACGATAGCGCGGAATCGAACGGAGCACTATACCAGTACTTCCCTAGCGTCCTCCACAAATGTACGAGTACTCGAGTACCGGTATGTCCAAGCACCCCTCCGGCTCAACTCGTGTACTTTACGGGTAAGCTGAGCGCGGCCGCGTACAAGTACAGTATGATGGTATGAAAGGTTTCACGATCGCCGTGCGTACGTAGGATTTAGGCTGATGGCGGGAATGCTAGACAGGGATTTCACATTTTTCTGGCGAGTGATAGAGTGTGATACGCCGTATTCTGCAGTTACATAGCGTACAAGTTAGTGGCAAGGGGGTGGGGGTGGGGTCGGGACCCCGGCTTGGAATGCTCGCTTGGAAAGAATTGTGTGGGTAACGTACTGCACCTGCGAGTAAATTTAATACCGATACACTCATAGGCGATGCCCAGATCTCGTTTTTTTTTTCTTTTTTCCCTTACGGCGGGCGAGGAAGGTGGCTAGTGAGAGAGATTTGTCATGTACGAGTATTGTACTAGTACTTGCACTCACTCTTCCTGTAGGTTTGCGGAACAATACTTGTGCCGTCTTTGTGTAGTCTACCCCGTGTGCCTAAGGAGGGTAGGAGCTTACGGGGAAGGGATGGGTGTGAGGTATATACAGCACTTGTTGGCTTACTAATTTGTGCCTGCACCATATTATGCTCGAGGATCGTACATGCACCTCGCTATTTATTTGTGTGCATTCGCCCCTGCTGTGCTCGAGTACGGGGTACAAGGGTCGGGGGTAAAAGGTTTGTACCCGGGTCGGTGATGAAGTACTCGAGTACAGTCAAACCTCGCTATCCCCGGTGGCCAAATTTTATGGATTCTGTCCGGAACAACGGGGTATCCGGATCAGCGAAAGGAGAGAGTTTTATTTCAAGGCGAGAGAGGTTAAAATAAATAAATACGAAATAAGGTGCGTATCCCTGTGTGAAGCTTCATCTCGACAAATATTCATATGCCCTGTTGACCCTTCTTGTCGTCCGTTTGGTGGGCGCACATGTGGCCTTTTCATCCTCCTCTTCAATACTATTTATCCCAATATACTCCACCTCAATATCCTCATATAAACCAAAGCCTGTACTACTTCTCTCTTTCCCCTTTCCCTTTTCAGTATTTACTCCCCCCTCAACCTCCTTCACCCTCCCCCTACTAGTACTCAGCCCAGCCTCTTCAACCAAGGTCCTGGGCCTGAAAAACTAGTGAATTTTGGTCTGCTGAGTTTGTTGGGTATTGCAATAAGTGTGTTCAATTAGATTAAAGTGTAAATTATAAGTAAGAAATAAAGAAACTCATACTGGAGAAGAGCAGAGTGAAGCTTATATGTAAAGGATATTAATTCTTCAACTGTAAGACTGCATTTAGCAAAGAGAGGCAGGTGAGTCATTGGTAATGCTTGAAGATAACATCCAAGCTTGAATGTGTTCTGTACAGCTATTTCGACACTGATTAACTGAAGTGGTAAAGTACTGATATTGCTTTCTAACTTGCTTTTATTAAGGTTTTTCTTAGAGTTTTGTGAAACACCTATTACTACTTTCCCTTGTACTATTATTTGAGCATCTGGGACTGTAGCATCTGGGTTACAAGCTCCTCCATTCTTACATACTTGTGCCAAGATTGCAGCTAGGGTGCTGCAACTCCTGAAAATTTGCTGGCTCAGTTTGCTGAGACACTTATCCTGAGTGCCTGACAGCTCAATGCAACATTGCAGCTCAATGCAACTTGAACTTTGTGGTTCAAACAACCAGTAAAGCCACCTTTAATTTTGTAACTCAGCATAATTTTGTAGCTGTATCTAATCTTTAAGTATCATACAACACTTCTATCTCATTAAATATAAACATAATATATTAAGATCTATATTCAGATTTTATGGACATATTTTAAAGTTTTTAATAAGATGTACCAACTCTGTTTAATCATACTTATAGATGTAAAATTATTAGATTACAACTCTAAATATATTAGTAAGAGTATGAAAAATAGTAAAATAGTAAAAGATTACATTAGAAATTATACTTAAATATATAATCTAAGATAGTGCTATAAAATTAGGCTGAGTTATAAAATTAAAGGTGGCATTACTGGTTGCTTGAGCTACAATGTTGCATTAAGCTGTCAGGCACTCAGGATGAGTGCTCCAGAAAACTGAGCCAGTGAATTCATTAGCAAAAATAAAAGCTTGCATTCTGTTCGTCCTGTGCATCAGATGTACAGAACATACAGGATGCAAACTATGACTCAGGATGCAATGGTTCTTGATGCCAGAAGTTGGAATGCAACTAAGTACTCTCCAAATTCTTTGGATACAACCAGATATAGTTTAATGACCCTACATTATAGAGCTATGGCAACCTTCGTTTGTGCTCATACATGAAACTAGGAGGTCAGTAGCAGACAAGACAGGTATGCCAGAGCATGTCTGTAAGATATCTGATAGTCTAGATATCTCTAAGAACAAAAGGTACTTATATAAGGGATATATGTATCTAAGTAGCAGTAGTAATATAACTATATCTATGTTGGCTTAAGTTCAGGTCAGAAGGTTGGAAGAAGTCATCCTGCCTAAGCACATCATGTTACCCTACTATGGAGACCAGTTTCATGTTACTATAGACATACTTATCCTATATTTGGGATACGATTATCCTACCTTCCATCAAAAATGATGCTGGAGGAATTTCAAAAAATGTTAGGATTATTGGTTACATAATGATGATCAATGGGTACTTGCTAGCAGATTGATCAGAAGACTATGGGAGGAGCTATAGTACTCCAAACATGTTGCAACTTGGCTGAAATATTCCTAACAGGTACCTCTGGCCCCAGGGTTTGTGTAACGGGGGCTCCCTCAGGTAGATGGTTCCTAAGGATGTGACCGCACCAAACTACGAATCTCTCGAACACAGCTCTTGCAAAAGTGTAAAGAATAAAAGTAAACGGTAAAACTTAATATTGTTAAGCTCAGGCTTATCTCAATTAAAGTCTCTCGAGAGGATGTTGATTGTGTCGGGGTAGGAGAGTTCTCGTATAATCTTTAAGTAGTCAGACTTATACCAAAAACTCCCCCATCAGGTTACCCCGACCAATGTGAGTATGCCCTTCTCCGTAAGGGTTGCCCCGGCACCATTACCGTGTCCCCGTAGGACTACAGGTGTCAGCGCACTCTATGGTTCCGGACGTCTTAACTGTACACCTCAGAATTTGTGACGGGGGACGG